ACAACCATAGCTGTTGGCTATAATTGTGCTGGGAGGGCCCTGCCCTCCAGCTGGGACTTGCACGTGGCAATGAGAGGACCCTGTCCTTTCATTAGTCCGAGGCTTGGACCTGGCCAAAACACTGTACCCATACCCCAGGTAAAGCACGAATGCCTCAGCCCACACAAAGGACTCCCCTCTTCTAGATCTACCCCAGTTTTATGCGCTACAAGGGCACGCAGGACATGCCCACTCCTTGTGCTAGATCCTGACCTGTGTTATCCTTTGTCCATTTCTGCTTTCCCTGCACAGCCAAGCTGAACCCTCTTTTTCAGGATAAGCCACCCCAAATCTCTTTTAGAACAAAGGAGTAAAAGCGTACACCATGATGTTTCAACTGCTCAGGTGGGAAAATGCCATATTTTGTTCATTCTTTTACCTTCTGAAGTACATACCTTTTTATCTGTCTTATCAAAAGAGCCAGGAGCTGGTGATCTTGGGAGGGGCAGCTGCCTAGAAGTGCTGATGGTGAGCCAGACAGCCCGGCGTGGCATGCTGTCCACATCCCACAGCTGGGGCTGTATGCATTGCTGACCTGGTTCAAGAACCCATTGCAAAGGCACCATTCCCCAGAAAGGAAAATCAATAAGTAATTTCTTTCCCCCATGTAATTCCATGGGCAACAAGGATGAAACACATCCACCCTGACTGTGAGGGAGTGTGCCTGGCGTGGAAGGCAGCATAGTTCACGGCTCTCAGTGAAAATAGAGACAAACGGGAAAGGCGAAGATGGCCAGAGCAGAGAGAGGCTGATGTGCAGGGAGCCATTTCTCACAGGCATTTAATTCTAGTCCACCAGGGGCTTTTACATCGGGGCTTGCTGTTGGCACAGCTATAATTCTATTTACAGATTGACAACATGGAATAATTTTCAGGGTAAAGGGTGAGCCTCGCATCTCTTGAATCTGAATCTACCCCATGGCCTCCTCATCTTTCCCAGTTTGGAGAGTACTCTGCACAAATTGCAAGTAAGTGATGAAATGCGAGTGCGCGGGGAAGAGAATTCTTCCTGCGCTCTGGAAATGGAGCCGGCCGTAACTGTGATCCATCTTTTTATTTTTATTTTTCTCTTCCCAAGCATTGCCACAGAAAGGGAGCTGATTCAGCTGAGTTTGAGGAAACAGTAGCAACATCAAGTCACAGAAGCTTAGTGGTTTTGTGGCCGATACACACTTATTTCTTTATTGCTTCTGAAACAAGTATTGTAGGCAAAGCTCTTCATTCTGTGTGTGTGGTTTTTGTTTGTTTGTTTGTTTTTTAGTGAATGGAAAAGTTTTTAGTCTTAAAACATTTTTTAATACTTTGGCTTAGGGACAAGTCCAGGAAAATGAACCTAAGAGCCTCAAACCCTTTTGACACTAGTGAACATCCTTTGTCCAGGCACG